GGTTTTGAAAGTAACGTAATTAGACTAAATTTTAAGGATGTAATTAGAGTAAATTGGTCCCTAATGTTGGGCTCCTGGTACCTGGTCTTACCAGAAGCAGGGAAGAGTCCTGAGCTAGGACATTCTGTCACCTCGCCATTCCTTCTCGCACCATGAGACCCTGAAGCGACTCCCCGTGAGCAGGAAAGACCACCAGGCTCAGCAGGAGTTGGCCTTGAACTTCTCAGGCTTCGGAAATCTTTGTTTGTGTGCAATCCCAGTGACATATACATACATGCGTACAGATAGACAGGCCGGCAGGCAGGCAGGTGGGTGGGCATTATGAGCTGGGGATCTAAGCCAAGGCCTGTCTAGCTAGTTACTCAGGTCCTCGGCTGTATCCACAGCCCACAAAGACAGTCTGGTATGAGATTGGCCAAATCTATAGACTACACTGCAGAAAAGGAGGCCTGGCTCTCCCCTAAAATAATAGCAATATTTGAATAAATATTTTATATGACCAATTTTATTAAGAATAACAGAGTAGCGATTTATTTTGTCCTCAAATTGTTATTCATCCTCTTACCATTCAGACAATTACAATTAACAATTTTGCCTTCTTTTTTTTTTGTTGTTGTGAAATTATCTGTCTTATGTTTATTTTTAAAGTCACATTTAATATTTTTTGTTTGTTTGTTTTTTGAGACAGGGTTCCTTTGTATAGCCTTGGCTGTCCTGGAACTCACTCTGTAGACCAAACTGGCCTTGAACTCACAGAGATCTGCCTCCTCTGCCTCCCAAGTGCTGAGACGACTAAAGGCATGTGCCATCACTGCCCAGCTCCAGTTAATACTTTAAAATTTGTTCTGCATTAATAAGCCTAGCAAAAAATATATTTAATTAAAGAAAAATCAATTCTTTCAATAGCCTAACCACATATTATTAAAGAGATCATGGAAAAATAAGTCAATAGTCAAAAACAGAATAATGGCCAGGTGACTTTATTCAAATGAGGTTAACTTAAAAAGCAGTGTGGATTCAGGCCAGTGCAAGATGCCTTTCTTCTACGTTGTTGGGTCCATTAAGTATTACAGTGGTATATCATTTGTGTCTTAATAAATAAAGCTTGCCTGAAGATCAGAGGGCAAAACAGTCATACTAGTCAGCCACACAGGCCAGGGAGTGGTGGCACACGCCTTTAATTCCAGGACTGGGGAGACAGAGGCAGGCGGATCTCTATAAATTCAAGGCCACACTGGGCTATGCAAGATTGAACCTGTCTAAAAGAGAAACAGACTTCACACAAAAGTGATCCCAACACTTGGGATCCCACACCTTTAATCCCAGCACTAGGGAGGTGGAGACAGGAATGATATGGCTGGGCAGAGAGGAATATAAAGGGGAAGAGACAGGAACTCAGTGGAGTGTGGAGTCTGAGGTTGGAAGAGAGCATTCAGGATCACCCCGTTTTTTGTCTGAGTCTTGGTAGAGGTAAAATCTCTCTAGTGGCTTGGCTGCTTTACTTTTCTGATCTTCAGCAGGAACCCCGATATCTGTCTCTGGGTCTTTTAGTGTTCGTGCTACAAAGTATGTTAGTAACGTGGGATAATGATTGTGTTTTAACACTGAATTCACCTCAGCAAAGGATACGTTTTGGCAAGTAAGAATTCTGTAGGATGATACGAGTTCCACGTTAAGTTTTTAAATGAAAGCAGATAACATTCAAAAGGGAACTAAGTGTTTTCTATTGTTTTAAACATTGCTTCTGTTCTCCGTACTTAATGCTGGAGTCCTTCTGGCCAGTGCCTTCTCCTGCTGATGGTTTGGAAGTTGCAATAGGGCCACATAATAAGTAAAAGCATTTGGTTTCTGCCCTAGAGTTTCTCAGAGTGCTTATGGTTCCTCTGCAATATAAGACTTCTTTCTAGTTTTATTGAATCCTTAGTGATTTATCTGTCTATAATATCTGCCCTCCACTCTATCTCTCTCTTCCTGCTTTCTTGAGAGCTAATCTAATTTTGTGAATGGGTTCAGGTTAATTCCAGAAGCACAGTTGCAGGAGCCATAATTGGCAGCTTATGTCCACCTCAGAAGTTTCCCAGGAGCTGGAGCTGGAGACTAGCTTGTTTTGATGAATTTCTTCATTGCTGTTCTAACTTCCCCCTGATCTTCAGAAGCTTTTCCCCATGGGACCTTGATAGCGTGCGATCCTGAAGATCCCACCATTTCATTTTGTTCAGACTCCAAGCTTCCGTCTGTCATTCTTGATTGCTGCAAAATCAGTTGGAGGGGAAGACTTTAATAATCTTGAGACCCAGAAGTTTGACAGAAATAGCGTGTGGACCACAGGTGGTGGATCCACAAAGCTGTGCCCAGCCTTCTTGTATTTCTTACGTGCTCTACTACAGAGTGGGAAAGAATGGAAGGGAATTTAAATGTATTAATTAATATTAATAGGCAATCCAAATAAAAATAATCAAGAAGAGAGTTAATCCCCTATTTGTTTTCTAACTCAGTGATTCTCAAACAATCCAGTTTAATCAGGATGATGAAAACTGGAGACTAGACCATGGTAATAAATGTGTTTGTTCTCGTGGTTGCTTCGGCAAGAGGCCTCTCGGTCACCTCTCTCCCAGAAGAGAGTTCTCTCCATTAGAACAGCATATGCTGTTAATCTCCATCTTCAGGAACACTCTCTGACTAGACAACATCATGTCCTTAGAGCAGCGTAGTGTTCCCACTCTGTGCAGAACTATCCATGCTGGAGGAAACTGTGTGCCTACCCAGTTCGTACTATACTGCGTCTTGTGAATTGTTTCACAGAATGATGTGTACAGTAAGAGTGGACACTGTGCTTTGCCAGGAGGGTGATGTTTAGGCATATTAGTTTCATCTCAAGTAAGGAAGCATGCAATCTGGCATAGAGTGTGTTCAGTGTGACGATGATGGGACTCTGAATGTAACGTCATAAAACTGCTATTTTATTAGCATTGAAAAGATGAGGAACAGGGGCACAGGGGCAGTTGGCAGGTGCGGGTGTCCAGCAGTGTTAGGAAGATTTGGTTCTGCTTGCTGCTGGACTACAATGTCAATTTTCCTTCCTACTTCTTCTGTAGCAGAACTGTTACTAACCCTGGAGATCAATTTTCCCCGTTCAAGGACTGCATCATCCAGTTTGGCTTGAAGCTGAGTGTGGCAATGTGGTTTAAACTCATCAGACGAACACGGGGCCCTTTGACAGGATTGGTTTTGAAAAGCATTGTTCTTTTGCTTCTGTTGATCAGATGTGGGAACGTACTGCCCGAAGCTTCTGTCACCGATATGAACCATGACGTCAGGTGTACACTCCCACATGGTAGACCAGCGAGTTGGGAGGTTTGCGGGGGCCTGAGACATTACAAACTATGATATCATCATGTTTTACTTGAAGAAAGGTCTTTCTCTGTAGTCCTGGCAGGCCTAAAATTCACTGTTGAAAATAACTCAGCTTCAAACTTGCCGTGATCCTTCTGTCTCAGCGTCCTTATGCGCTTGTGCCAGCAAACCCTGAATGTTTCCTGAGAAACTGTGGTGTGTGTGTGTGTGTGTGTGAGATGATGTTCAAGTCTTAGTTATATGTGGCAAAACCATTTCTAACTGATTTGTATCTAAATTAAAATATTAAGAAATAATATAAGCATGTTATTTAGTAGCACAGAAATCAAAACTAAAGGGAACAGGATAAACTGAAAGCAGTTGCCTTTGGCAGTGGGAATTGGGATCAAAACAAATGTTTACTATTTTTTCTTATAATAATTAATATAATATTTAACATTTTAAGTTTGGTACATTATTAATTGTAGTGATATTTCATTTGTATTTTAATAAATAAAGCTTGCCTGTAGCTTAGAGAGTAAAACAGCCCCACTGATCAGCCTTACAGACCAGGAAGTGGTGACACACACCTTTAATCTCAATAGCCACACTAGTTTGCCAAACAAACCAGGCAGTAGTGGTGCACGCCCTTAATCCCAGAACTAGAGAAGAATACAAGACAAGAGGAGACAGCTCTCACACCCAGTCTCAGAGATTCCTGGAGGCGGGATCGCCATTTCAGACTGAGGTAGAGGGAAGAGCCAGTGGCTGGCTGTTTTGCTTTTCTGACCTTCAGGTTGAACCCCAATTTCTGTCTCTGGGTTTTAATTAATCATACTACAATTATTAAAATCAAATGAACTTTTTTTCTATTTTTACTTAGTATTTATGTATTCACTTCCCACCTATAATAAGTACTTCTCTTTTTATCTGGAATAACAACTGTTTGGTTTGGTATCTACATGTTTTTTCAAGAAAGGGTTTCTCTGTAGTTTTGGAGCCTGTCCTGGAACTAGCTCTTGTGGACCAGGCTGGCCTTGAACTCACAGAGATCCACGTGCCTCTGCCTCCTGAGTGCTGGGATTAAAAGTGTGTGCCACCACTGCCCGGCTGGTTATTTCTTTCTTTATTATTTTTTATTGATTTTATAAAATCAATGACTTTGTTGATTTTAGTGAGTGCATATGATAATTGTCTTTCTGGATCTGGGTTACATAATCAATATGTTGTTTTCTAGATCCATCCATTTGCCTGCAAATTTTAAGATGTTATTTTTTTCTGCTGTCTAGTACTCTATTGTGTAAATGTACCACATTTCCTTATCCATTCTTCAGTCAAGGAGCATGTAGGTTGTTTCCAGGTTTTGGCTATGGCAAACAATGCTGCTATGAACATAGTTGAGCACATGTCCTTGTGACACAATTGAGCATCTTTTGGATGCTTTGGATAATACTGCTGGGTCTTGAGGAAGGTTGTTTCCTAATTTTCTGAGAAATTGCCATACTGATATCCAAAGGGATGCAGTTATTTCTTAATACAGTATATATAAAGATGAGTAGTTTTCTTTGGCTACTTATTTCATTATTATTATATTCAATTTTAATTTTAAAATGTTATTTATTAGGAAATATTGGAGCATGCAGTACTCTTGTTTGTTTATTTTTTAGAGTTCAAGATGCAAGCATGAAGTTAAAAAAGCAGCAAAATGAATTTCAGAGAATACAGAAAGAATTAGACCATCAACAAAATGAGCTAAAAATTAAGCAAAAACAATCCCAAGTCTTCAGGTAAGATTATCTTTAAGAATTGAAAATTATAAACATTAAAATTATACACCAAATGGTGCCTTTATGAATATCTTGAGAAAAATGGAAATAGCTTCACTTTTTATTGTCCTTATGTCAACTGAATTGTTTTGTTAGTGAAATGTCATTGAGCAAACAGCGTTTCCTGTTAATACTTTGCTTCTGTTCCTTCTCTGTAGTGACATCTGAAATGAAAGTGTAGTAGCTAATGTCTGTTTTGTGTGTAAGTGGAGTGTAGTGATTGGTCTGTGTCTGTGTCTGCATGCGTGAGCGTGTGTCTGCGCGTGTGTAGTTGTGTCTTCCTCGCTTGTTCTCTACGTTATTTTTTGAGACAGGTTCACTGACTAGAGCTGGAGCTTACTAACTTGTCCAGCCTGTCTGACTGGCAAGCTCCAGGCATCTTCACACCCCGTCCACCCTACCCTGGGTTTGTAGGCATGCGCCCTCAGGAGTGGGGATCTGAGCTGAGGACCCCTGCGGGGCAAGCCTTGTACTGCGGAGTGTCCCCTCCAGTTAATCTGTTGGAACAGAAAACCTTTCTCTGTGATAATACAGACCCTGAAATTTGGAATTCTCCAGCGCAAATAACGCTAATCTCCTCCCATAGACTCACTGCAAGGTTTATAATCCATAAAGATAAAATGCAGCAAACAAACAAACACTGGAAACACACGTCCTAAAATACATTGAGAATGTTTCTGAGGTTCAAGATAACTAAAAGATGTGCTGCATAAGCATTTGGATTTAGGTTTTTGTTTTAATCCACTCCTTAATACCACAAACTTTTTGTTAAAAAAAGTTTTTGATGCATCTGTTGATAAGTCTGCTGGCCACGGTCTGCCTTTCACAAATAGCTTATGTATAGCTGATAGTAAAGAATTGTTGAGTGGATGCATGAAGGAAATCTGCTCACACCTTCCCCCCGCCCGTGTGTGTGTGTGTGTGTGTGTGTGTGTGTGTGTGTGGTTTTGCCTGCATCAGTGTCCGTGCACCACATGCATGCAGTTTCTCCAGAGGTGGTGTAACCCCCGGGACAGGACTCAGAGCTGATCGTGAACTATCATGTGGATGCCAGGGATCGAACCTGGGTCTTCAGAAGAGCAGCCAGTCCTCTTAACTACTTATCCATGGCTCTAGCCCCACTCCCAGATGAACATTTTTACCATTACAATTTTCCTTGGCCCATTTCAATAAAGCCGGTAGTGGGCTCGCAGATTAACAGCACCAGGCAACCTGATTACCACCAGGTGCTTGGCTCCTGCGGTAGCCTTGGCCCGTGTCTAGACTACTGCATGTGAGGATGTCTGTCCTCTTTGTAGTTAAAATAACAAAAGAGAAGACATTTGGCTTGCTGTATTTATCAGTGTACCGTCACTATTCTCAGAGTACATCTGTTGTCTGTGTGTGATATGTTGAAGGCTTCCTTTCGCTTTCAAAATTGTCTCCATTAAACAATGGATTATATGATCACTTTTGAAGAAATGTGTATTTATTGTTATGTTTTCTGTGTTTAAAAATGCTAATTTTTGTTTTACTAATTGCAGTCAAAGATTGTCAGAATACAGATACTTCTGGAATAAGACCCTTTTGTTACTTACTTTTACTAAAAGGGAACTAACCAGTATTAAACATGAAGTATGTGATAATTTTCAAAACTGGACTTCACTGAAAGGGGAAGTTTTTCTGCAGATGAAATCTCTGAGTGACGCAGCCTTGGCAGGTTTGTTACATGTATTTACAGTCTCCTTGCTTGTCTCTAACTGCTACATCATAGCTATGCAATCATAGGATTTCTCTGTGTGTTGGGACTCAGGTCCACTTTTATTACTGGTTGGCACTGTAGAGAAACATTAAGGTCCAATTATACCTGGAGTTCCACAATTATTTGCTCATCTAACCAAAGCTATGCTGCATCCATTTTACAGCTGTGGTTAAAAGTTTGATTCCTCTTGTTAAGCTTCTAGATTTGTCTAACAGTTTTCTCTTCATCTCAGTGGTTGAGTAGTGGTATAAGACCAGCCTCACTCAAATAATTATAAATGCTGAACAAAAATACTCAACATTGCAGAGAGACCAAAACTGAGCACATAAAGACTGAAGCGTCAAAGACTGAAATAAGGTGTTTACGCAGTGGAAGGCGGCAGTCTGAACAGGCAGCATGATGTGCTACATCTGTGTGAGCTGCCGGACAGGGAGAACTAGAGAACAGTAAACCTAACTGACAGCTGGGGGCAAGGGCGGATAAACACAGGACACCCAGAGGAACTTTGAGACATGGACGTTATTCTCCAGGGTGTCACAGTGATGCATCCAGGTCATTATGTGCGCTTGCTGCAAATGTGGTCTCTGACTAATAACATGGCATGCAGTTTGTCTTGACCAGATGCAGCATGGTGCGGGGTGTCACTGGGAGGGGAGGCTGGGGGAGGGGGAGGCTGTGTAACAGCTCTGCTTTTTCCTCACTTTCACTAAAACCGCTTTAAAGAGGCTTAAGGTTATTTTCATTATTGAAAAGGAGTATGGAACTTGGCGAATTTCTATTTTTATTTTTTAAAGGCCAGTATATTGGGGTCAGGATATAGTTTATTCTACATAGAAGTAAAAATTATGAAAGAAAAAATATGTTCTTTTAATCCTGAAGATGAGAGGACAGTGGGCAAGGCAGGCGCAGCCTCTGGGAATGGCCAGGCGCAGAGCCAGTAGGGGAGATCAGCTTCTGCATGGAAATACTTTCCAGCTCTCTGGAGCTCCTCTGCGCAAGGAAGACTGAGCAGCCCGCCTGAGACTGAAGCGATAGACACTTCCTTCCCTTGGGGAATAGACTTTATAGTTGGGGTTTAGCTAAATTAACTGCTCCTTAAACCAGAGCAGAAACAAACAAACAAATGCTCTTTAAAATTTATTTTTTTTAAAATTACTGTTCGTGAAAGTTTTACTCTGTGTTTATCTGTGTGCTTGGGGCCAAGAGTTGGCGTCTCAGGTCCAGAAGCTGCAGCTGCAGACAGTTGTGAGCCACCGTGTGGGTGCTGGGAATCACATCTGGGTCCTTTGAAAGAGCAGTCAATGCTCTTAACTACCGAGCCATTTCTCCGGCCCCCTTAATACTTTGCAGAGGAAACATAATAGAGCCCAGTTTTCATATTGTACCAGTGTTTAGTACACAATCGAAAACTTCTTTCTTTCTTTCTTTCTTTCTTTCTTTCTTTCTTTCTTTTTTGTTTTTGTTGTTGGTTGATTTTTGTTGTTTGTGGTGGTTGATTTTTGGGTTTCTTTGTGTAACCTAGGCTGTACTGGAACTCACTCTGTAGACCAGCCTGGCCTTGAACACAGAGCTCCTCCTGCCTCTGACTCCTGAGTGCTGGGATTAAAGATGTGTGCCACCACTGCCTGGCCCAAAATTCTTAACCTGGAAAAAAAATATTAAAAATATGGTCCATGTTCCCCCCAAATAGAGCAGTAAATTTGGAGCAAACTTAAATTGCACCAGATGATGTGTGGGAAGGCACAATTCTTCTTTCTTCTCTTTATTGTGCTTTGCAGACCATTTTTATCAATGGAAGGTTTGTGGCACCCTTATTGGACAAGTCTCTCTAGGTTGCTTTTTTTAATGACACGTACTACTTTAGTAAGCACACATTCTGTCACGTTTTGGTAATTCTGTTTGTTTTTTCGAGACAGCGTTTCTCTGTAGCTTTGGAGCCTATCCTAGAACTAGCTCTTGTAGACCAGGCTGGCCTCGAACTCACAGAGATCCGCCTGCCTCTGCCTCCCAAGTGCTGGGATTAAAGGCGTGTGCCACCACCGCCGGGCACATTCTGGCAATTCTTAGGTTTTTTATTATTTTATTTTCTGCACACAGCCACCTTCAGTGTTACTATCAGAACTGTTTTGGGACACTATATGCCACATATATAAGAAGCTCTGTGTTCTCACTGTTGGTTTTCAGAACAAAAACGGCCATTCCTGTGTCTGTTCACTCTCTGGTCATTCCCATGTCTGTTCAGTTGAAGCTTCTAGCTCGATCGTGAACAAATCTACCCTATTTCCTCCAACCCCGCCTTTGCCGAGAAAATTCTGAACAAAGAAATGGCACCCAAGTGCCCACCCAGGGACCTAGCTTTTGACCATACTTGGGCACAGTCCTAGCTCCTGGCTGGCAGGACATCACCGCTCGCCTGAGGTCTATAAAACGTCCCTGCCTTGGCTAAGGGCACTCCCTGAAACAGCTGTACGCTAGAAAAGGACTCCATTTAGGACTTTTCATAGAGAAGTCATTGCCTGGCTACAAAGGTTCAAAGGACAGACAGACTGTCTTGGTAGGCGCCAGTAAAAGCTGACTTGACGTGGAAGCCCCCTTTTCATCTGTCATCCCCCAAATCCTGGGACTCTGAGAGTCCTGTGAAATCCGCCCTGCCAGTTCTCGGTAAATGGAACAACAAAGCCGGGATGGCAGCATATCTGTTTACAATGTGCTGCTGCTGATAGCTATTGCTCAGTCAAAAGACCTCAGCCTGGTGGTGCATGCCTCCCACTCCAACTCCATAAAGGCTCAGGGATAACTTATTCATGGAATTCAAGGCTATCTTGGGTAGCATGGTGAGATATTGTCTCAAAGGAAAAACAAACAAATTCCTTTCAAAATACAACTTCACCCAAGAACTCTAATGGAATTTGATGAGATTAGTAATGTTTTCGTGTCTGTTAAACTGGCACCAGCCAGTTTACAGCCTATGGATCAGGGAGCAATTTGACTTCAGATCTTGCTGTCTATAAAATTTATGCTTATCATTATCAAAGACAGTGATTTCTCCAGACATAGTAAATTGGAAACCTCTGGAAATGATTCCTTACTATAGATGGCATTAAGAACAAACACTGTCATTAGGATTCGCCATAGAGATGCATTAAGAGCATTCAGGATTCATGTGAAAATATCAATATTAATCAAAACTTAGAAGTTGATTATAGCCAGCATGACTGGGCAGAAGTAGCTCTAGACAACGTAGAAGTGACAGTTGTCTTAGTTTGCTCTCTGGTGCTGTGATAAATGCCATGACCAAAGCATTGTGGAGAGGAAAGGCCTTATTTCATCCGCCAGCTCACGACCCTTATAGAGGGAAGGAACTCAAGACAGGAACTCAGCTAGGAACTGAAACATCCATGGATGAGAAACAAATACCCAAATCAGCAATGAAAAGGGAAGGATTACTTTTACATGCAATAACTTGAATGAACACCTCGGAAATTTTTTTAGGTTTAAAAAATGCCAATTTCATAATCCTTTCACAGGATTTTCCTTTTTATTGTTTGAGAATTTCATAACTAACATAGTGGGTTTTGATCAACTCTCCCCTCCAACCCTACCCTCCTCACCACCTCCCTTTTCCAACTTCAGTTGATCTTTTAAAAAGTCTCTGAATTCACTTAGTGCTGCCTGTGTGTGCATGGGTGTGGGACCATCTTCTGGAGCATAGGCAGCCTCTCAGGCCAGTAAACTGACTCTTTCTTCCACAAGGACCAGCAGTTGTCAGTAGCTCCCCAGTAGGATGGGACTTCCCGAGCTCCTCTCCCTTCATGCTGGGATTTTGTCCAACTTGATCTTGTGTGTGTAGTCACTAACTGTGAGTTCACGTGTACAGAGGCCTTGTTGTGGCTGGCAAATCTCATCTTTTTCCACCTCCCCTTCTGTTATGATTCCTGAGCCTTTGGGAGAGGAACGAAGATACAGATGCCCCACTTAGAGCTGAGCACTCTGTAGTCTCTTAGTCTCCGCACATTGACCAGTTTGGGTCTCTGTACAAATTACATCTACTGAAGAAGGAAGCTTCTCTGATGAGGGTTGAGATGGCACACAGAGCTGAGGATCCAGTTTATTCCTGCATCCGTTTCACAGAATAGTAATTGGAGCTTCTTCCTAGGATGTGTAATTAGCCACCCGTGGGTTTTTGGCTCTCTTAATGGTACCATGCGTGAATTCTATCCTGTGGATTGGGTTTAAATCCATTCAGAAAGTGGTTCAATTTCAAAATCATTTATTGTTCCATTTATATAGTAGTCATGACATGAAGCCATTGTATGTGTAAGGGAAGACGAGCAATTGTTGGGGATTGGCACTGCTGGGCTAGAGGATGAGCTGACTGCGGACACCAGGTTGGAATTTGGTGATATACAACCTCATATTTTGACCGTGGGGGTGCAGCCTACTGTGGGCTCTGTCGCTCCTGGACCAGTGGCCCTGGGTTGTATAAGAAAGCAGGGTGAGCAAGTCATGAGGACCACGCCTCTGCTTCAGCTACTGTCTCCAGATTTGTCTTTGAGTTCCCTCCTGGGTTTACCCTTCTGATGGGCTGTAAGCTGTAAGCTGTAAGCTGAAATAAACCTTTTCCTATCCCTGCTGCTTTCTGCTAGGGTGTCTATCACAGCAACACAGAGCAAGTGGGAACGCTGTGTGTGTGTTAAAGTCTCCTAGAACAAGCATCACACGCAGAGTTTGTGCGCAGCTGGTTAAATCTAACGTGCTTCTCTGACTAGTAGAGTGAGGGGGAATGGACCTTCTCTATAAATCTATTTTTAACTTTCTGTAAACTATTTCAAAATAAAAGGGTTTTTTAAAACCAATGTAATGGTTTTTGATTCCTTCATTTAATAACTTTAGTTTTTAAAGGTCTGTCCTATTATAATAAAATTAAAGTTATGTAAATTAATGGTCACACAGTGAATGGAACATTGGAATTCCCTAGTAATAAGGTTATAAAGTTCTTGTAATAGCATAATGACACAATGTAATTGTACATTCACTTGGCTAATCTTGGGGCTATAAAGACAGAAATAAACGTTAATACAGTTTAAAAAAGCAAAACAAAACAAACAACCGACTTTGTATTCTCATACTTTTTTTAGATAATGAATTTTGTTGGTGTTTAGTGCTAAAAATCAGACCCAGGGTCTCACACAGGCATGCATCCCTCACCAAGCTGCAACTTCCCTCCTGTCAGTAACTCTCTCTCTCTCTCTCTCTCTCTCTCTCTCTCTCTCTCTCTCTCTCTCTCTCTCTCTCTCTCTCTCTCTCTCTCTCTCTCTCTCTCTCTGGCTGTCTTCTGTTTTTTCAAGACAGAGTTTCTCTATGTAGCCCTGGCTGTCCTGGAACTCTCTTGTAGACCAGGCTGGCCTCGAACTCACAGAGATCCACCTGCCTCTGCCTCCCAAGTGCCGGGATTAAAGGCATGCGCCACCACCACCCAGCATATCTTTTGACCTTTTAGAAATCAAGTATGAAATTACGTTAGAGTTCACAGTTTTAATAAAACTTGATGAAATTAAGAATGGAATAGGCATATTAGATTAGATTATGCCTATTAATGTTAGATTGCTAACATTTTTGGAGGGTGTATGTTTTAATTGTTTAACTTAGTCTGCCATATAAAGCATGTCCAATTCAAAATGCCTGCCTCTGAAATGAAACAGAAGCAAACCCTTATTCAGGATGTTCAAATACTGGCACATTAGGGACCATTTAGAAGGTCTACTCAGAAGACTGCACACATAACAGCTCCTTCGATATGTAAACCATGATGGTGGAAACCAGAGGGGAATACACGGGTTGTTGTCCCTGGTCTACGTTAACCTCCAGTCTAACACTAGGTTGTATGCGTATATGTGATCCATGCAAAGTAAGAATGCAAATTGGCATGCAGTATCTAGGTTAGCTCAGGAAAGACTTCCGTGATGGGATCCCGTATGAGCTATGGCAGGCCACGAGTGTGAGGATGGGATGATGCCTGAGGGGTGTGCAGAAGCAGAAAGCCTCAAGTTGGGTGCAGTCCAGTAACCAGTGTAGACTGACCTGGTAGGGATCATAATTCTGAACCCCAGATCGGGACGATAACTGACAAGGGTGAAATGATATAATGGCAAAATAGAGGATGGCGTGTTGGCACCGTGAGCTGTTGGGAGAGGAGCTCGAGTCAGTCCACCTCCCCTGAGTCTAATTTCCTGAGGCCACGTTGGAAATGTTTTAGTCCCCCGTTAGTTTGGAAATCTTGCCGTACTTCCCACGAGGACATGAAAATAGACGCTATTTCACAAATCAACCTGTGTTGCAGATTCAGCCTCTCAATGTCAGATAGAAAGTCACACTGACATTAGTTATTTTAGAGATGACAGCGCTCACTCACAGAACCAGCCAACAGAGTCACTTTGGCAAATGAGAAGTCGGTGCCAGCATGCGCGACCTACTCGGCAGTGTCGTTCTGACTTGACCACGGGCAGATGTTACAGTACGGGACAGTGGGTTCAGCTGTAAGAAGCAGCCTTTGCGACTGCAAAACTACCCAGGAAGCATTTTCCTTTGTCTCCCTCTGTTAAGCTGCCTCGTTTTCGAAAGCTTTCTCTATTAGTGTGCTGGTCATCCTGCTCGCAGAGACGGGCTCATCGTCACGCAGTTTTAGAAGCCTATTAGCTATTCTCAGTGGGGAGATGCCATATAAGGTAGCTACTGGACCACAGGAGAAACATGCGTTTGGTCCCTGCCATTTCTTTATCTCTCCAGGTTTTCCATTTGCAAGTTGAAAAGGAACTAAAAGAGAAAAGGTACCAGGGCCTCTTCTCAAGGCCCAGGTCAGTGTTTAATGCCACTTTTCCTTCCAGACATGGTTCTTTTCCAGGTAGGGTCTTTCCTTTGCTCTCCTTGAACCGTGTCCCCCTTTCTCACTCACATTCTTGGGCTCCCTCACCTCTGGCTGTTTCTCTCTCTCTCTCTCTCTCTCTCTCTCTCTCTCTCTCTCTCTCTCTCTCTCTCTCTCTCTCTCTCTCTGTTCTCTCTCTCTTCCCCTCTCACTCTTCTCTCCAACCTCACTATGTCCCTCTCATTGGCTTAGAACTTGCTGCAGACCAGGCTGGTCTTGAACTCCCAAATGTGTGCCTACTCTACCCTCTCAAGTGTTGGATTAAAGGTGTGCACCATCAGCCTGGCTGGACCACATTCAGTTGTGCTCCGCACCATCCTTTAGGAAATTTTCTCTTTCCTGTGCCCTGCTGCCGCCAGCTGCTGCCCTATTGCCTGCTCCCAGATCTGTCCTGCGGATCTCTACTTTGATCTTTCCTGCATGTGCCAAGCCAACATGTTGAGATACCCACGCACACCTGAACTCAGCACACAGCTTAGGAGGGGCTAGCCAAAGAAGGCAGTGCCAGGTGATCTTCCTAGAAAACCATTGAGTGTCTCATAAACCACACCCTTGTTAATATCGTTAGCTGACTTGTACAAATAACATAGTACTTTTACTGTGCGTTTTGTTACCTTGGTGCCTTATGTTGGCAGTGCTGAGAACATTGGTGAAGGGTAAACTTGATAATTATTTTGATGGGTGATGTGCTCTGTGCATTTTACAAGAAAGTACATGGACTCTAAGTAGAACTGTAAAGCCATTTAAAGATTAAATGGCAAGAGAGTAATGACATCAAATTACTACAATATGTTCTGGTTTCACTATAGGGGACAGTACCATTAGAATCATTAAAATAGATTCGGTAACTGTTAAATACTTTCTACCCACAAGCTTGCTAGTTTTAGATGCTCCATCCTTCAGGTCCTTCCCTCTCTTGCTGCTTAGAATGTAGCCAGTAGCCGTTAGAAACGCTACCCACCAGGTCGTGCTACATCCACACTTACTCTCCTCGGTCTCACAATTTCAACAAAACCCAGAACCCTCCGCAGGAATTATACTTTTCATATTTATACGAGAATGTAAAAGCAGTCTATATTACTATTTAGTATGATTTAAGGCTAAAAAAAAAGAGTACAACATTTAGCAATTCAGGCCATTTTCCCATTTTCAGAATTGCTAGAACGTTTAAATCTAACTTTGGCTAAGTGTCATGCTCTCAGAAAAGTCATCTTCTTCTCACATATTAATTTTCAAAAAGAAAATCAGTTTTGAGAGGATTGTGGTTTAATGTCTTCTGTGTATAAACTTTTTAAATTTTCTTTACAGAAATAGATATGTTAAATAAAAGTCTGACAGTTTCCCAGAGAAATAAGGTGTGCCTGGAAGAGGAAATGAAAAATCTCAAACTCTTGTCGGATGCAGCCATCTTGAAGTCTCAGGAGATGCAGGCGTCCAAACAGCACGAAGTAAGCTTGCAAGCCAGGTGCTATGATCTGCAGAAGGAAGCCCTAGGTAAAGAGAGTTCCTTCTCGGTGTTAGCGACTAGCCGTAACATGGAAATAACGACCTTTTCCCCTAAAATCAGAACAGTTTTGTGTTTATTAAGTTGTCTTGCAAATATGCCTACTAGTAACTGTCTTTGCTCCGAGTTTGCAGTTGTCCCTTGCAATCTTGCCATTTGAAGAGTCAGGATTAAAGGGTTCTGTGTGGGCCCTTTCAAGTACAAAGCAAGAGTTCAGCAGCACAAAGTGGAATTTCCTTTGCTGTCTCATTATTCCTAGGGGATGTTTGGCTTAGGATGCAAAAGGAACATGGGGCATATGTTGTTGTGTAAGAGGAGCCCAGATTTTATTTTCATTTTTAATGTTTTATTTCTAAAACTGTAACAGTTTGTGAAGAAAAGGGATAAGGTTTTCAAAACTCTTAATTGTACTAATTCTTTATCATTTTTGTTGTGTTAAAATGCATGACCCTAAATGTATCATTTCAAATATTTTTAATTATTCAGTTCAGGGGTTTTAAAGTATGTTTACATTTCTGCAGTACACCATGGAACTTTTCCACATTGCAAAACAGAAACTTTGTAGCCGGGGGATGCTCTACCCTCTCCACTTAAGTTCTAGGCAGCCCCTGTCTACTTTGTTCCTGTGAGTTTGACTTTTCTAACATTGTACAGTAAGTGAGATGATATGGTAGTGTGTGTGTGTGTGTGTGTATGTGTGTTTATCTGGAGGGTTTTACTGAGTACAGCGTCCTCTGTGTTGCCACAGTGTGGGAGTTCCTTTCAGTCCTGACCGGTACAGTAGACCTTTGCATTTGTGGGCTCTCCTGGTTCCTTGTTCCTTCATCTTCTGATGGACTGGACATTTGGGCCATTTCCACCTCTTCCCCATTGCACCTGAAGCTGTGGAGAAGGTAGGGCTACAGATACCTCCTTGAGGCCTTGCTCTAGGGCTCTGATAAATGCCCAGAGGCAGGACAGCTTTGTCATGTGAGCAATGCCCCTACGGTTTCTCTAATGAGAAATATCATTTAACATTCCTACCATAATGGCACCACGTTTTTGTCTTTAGCAACATTTAATTTTTTGGGTGGTCGTTTGGTATCTTCCATAGCTAATTGTTTTTCATGTCCTTTGCTAATTTTTAATATGTAGGTATTTTCGTTTTTTCATTGAATTATACAAGTGTCTTATAAGTGTACATATAAACTGCTTATCATATATGTGACTTTCCCATGACTTAGGTTGTCATCTCAAACCCATTTATTGTTTTCTTTGCTACAAAGACTTTTTCCAGCTGAACGAGGCCTCTTTCTGTGTTTTGCTTTTATTGAACATGAGTTTGATGTAATAGCTAAGAAATCACTGCAAATTCCAGTATTCCAAAGTTTTTTCTTTACTTTTCTTTTTAAACATGAATCTAGAATTTTGAACAGTTTTGGGAATAAGTCTAAGAAATACATATTTCTACCTGAAAGTATTGAAAATTGTTTATCAAGATAACCATAAAAGCAGTATTTTTCTTGGAATGCATGATGTGAAAACCACAAAGAATCAATAAAAGAAAAAAGTGGTATATAGAAAGACTGAGCCTCGAGGCAGTGTGTTATGGTGGGATGAGCTCATACTGATGGAGATCTAAAGAGGGGTGAGCGCTGGGACAGAAAGAGAGGGGCCATGCGTCCAGTAGATAGAGAGGGGTGAGCGCTGGGACAGAAAGAGGGGTGCCATGCGTCCAGTAGATAGAGGGGTGAGTGCTGGGACAGAAAGAGGGGGGCCATAGTCCAGTAGATAGAGGGGTGAGCGCTGGGACAGAAAGAGGGGGGCCATAGTCCAGTAGATAGAGGGGTGAGCGCTGGGACAGAAAGAGAGGGGCTATACGTTCAATAGCACTAATTTTCTGACTGAAATCAGAAAAAAATACAAAATCTAAAAATTGCAATTTTTATATGTGCATATGGGGGGCTCATTTGTGTTCCACAGTGCACATGTGGATGCAGAAGTCAGCTGACTGGACTTGGTTCTGTCCTTCTGCCCTGTGGGTGTTGGGGCTAAAACTCAAGCAGTCTGGCTTGAAAGCAGGTCCTTTACCCTCTGACCGTCTCGCCAGCCCAAAAGATTGTAATATATAACAGTGATCAATTGTTTTCCTTTTTATTTAATTATTTATGTTGGTTCCTATTTATTTAAAGCTGACTTACTAGTGGTTCTCTTGGTAGCAGTTTGTTTTGCTGGAGTCAGGCTGACCTGGAACTTATGCCCTCTTGCTTCAGCCCTGACTGCTGAGATTCTAGGTGTGTACAGAAGTCCCAGCTCCTCTTCCTCGTTTTGTTTGTTTTTAAGACAAGGTTGAATTCACTGTGTGGCCCTGACTGACCTGGAACTCAGATCTGCCTGCCTCTACTCCCTGAATGCTGGGTTTAAAATGAGTGTCCCCACTCCCAGCCTCCTTTAAATAATTTTAATGAGCAGTTTGAATAGTACAGGTTTAGTATATTTTTATATTATATTTATATATTCAGTTTTCCTAAAGTAATTTAAAATTTTTTTATGATATCACCATATCACAGGTTTGTATTATGGTATAACCAAATGGTGGATTTTTTTTATTGTTTCTGGTTAGTTTTGATTAAAACATTACACAGTATACACAGTTTTTTTTGGATCCTTTCATTTAATATATTTTTATGTCATATGAGACTCAATGATCCAGTTTCACTCTTGTCCCATTATATTAGCTTACGTAGTAATTAAGTCATTTTTACCACCTAACGTTAGATTCCATGTGCTAGTGTCCATCACTGCGTTCTCGTCTGTTGCACTAATTCATCTCATATGCCATTAATGTTAATTTTTGTAGAGTCCATTATTAACGAATTCTTACAAGTAGAGTTTTTCCTGTTGTTCTTACCTTTGGATATATTTGGCATGTCGTTATTTTTCCACTTAAATCTTTTGTGTGGGAGGCATGTACGTGGGTGGAGCTCAGAGGTCAAAGTTGGTGTTTTCCTCAATTGGTTATCTTCTTATTTTTTAATTTTTAATTCCTTTTAGAATTACTTATTTTAGTTTATATGTATGCGTGTTTTGCCTGTGTATATGTATGTACACCACTTTGATGCTTGGTGCCCTGCACAGTTGAAGGAGTTACAGATGATTGTAAAGCACTGTGCAGTTGCCAAGAACCGAATCCTGGTCCTCTGGAGGAGCAGCCACCTCTTTAGTCTCCACCCTCTTGTGATTTGAGCCTCGGTCTTTCACTAAACCTGATGCTCACCACTTGTCTCTTCTACCTGATCTTCAACACCCTGGCTTCCCCTGTTGATGCTTCCCGGCCCTGGGTTCCAGTTGAACTGCACTGCCATCCTGGCCCTGGGTTACAGTTGGACCGCATTGTTATCCCAGCCCTGTGTTGGGAGCTGTGAACCCCCAGATCCTGAATTTCTTGTAAACAACTTGTTTTCCTCTGCTCTGAGACAGCCTGCAGCCGCCCTGAGCACAAGACCCTCAGGAGTTCCTGATGGCAGGAAAGTGGTTTCTGGTGCGTTTGGCGCGTGGCTATCAGTTAAGGATCTCTATGTAAGCATCTCTGGTACAATAATAAAGGGGACATTCTTGGGGCATTCCTGTTCCAAGGATGACCCGTGTCTCTGTCTGTGAGTCTTTGTGTGTTTCAGTCTCCAGCCCCTTGCCTGGTTCACGAACTGTATGGTAGTGCAGAGAGCGCAGTCGGGCATGATGCGCTGCACCCCTGGGTCGCAGTTGGACCGCACTGCTGTTCCAGCTTTTAAATCTCAGTTCTGGGACTCTGAACCCGGGCCTTCATACTTGCAAGGCACACACTTCACTGACTGAGCCAACTCTTCAGCCCCGTCTCTTTAAACTTTAAGATAATGTTATTACCTATTGCAGAAGGCTCCAATGAATCCCTCGCCAAGTTTTCTTCCTCTAAAGTTTATAAGGTCTTCTACACAGAAAGTTATTACTCCACATAAACTAGGGCATCGTTTATTACATTATAATCCAGTAGGGATTCTAATTAGAATCGTATTTTATGTATAAAATTTTAGAGAATTGCTATTCTCATACTAATTCTCGCCATTTTTATCATCAGCTCAGGTTTTCTAGTTATGTGATTATGCTAACAGGTGCATATGCTCAGAGAGTCTTAGCAATTCTAATATTGTTCAAAAGTCCAAGCTCAGGGTGTCTACTTATGATCCCCTGACAATTAAGAAGTTGCATACTTCCAACAAACAAAGACATGTAGTGAGCATCCCATTATAAAGGAAAGGAGTGGGAGCACAGCAAGGAATGATGGGATCAGAGCACGGCTTAGACCAAAGCCAAATCCACATCCAGCATCTAGGGTACTTGGAGCATTATCTGGGCTGGAGTTGGTTTGGTCACTTCTAGTTCTATGGTCTGTAGCACACACAGCCTCTCTCTTGGGCTTGCTCCGCTCTGTACTCAAAGCCCCTTCCTTTGGCAGACTCTTCATGTTCCCGGCATCTCCAGACCCCTGGGGTCTCTGTCACATCTTAAGCTTCACTTTGTGTCACGTGACAGCCCTTTAGGGCCATCTTGCAGGGATGCTGACCCTGTCACATGTTGCCTGGACTTAGTGCCTTTCTGAAACTTGGAGCAAGCTCCATCTTCCGTAGCTTTCCATTTTCCACTCTTCTGAAATCATGTCTGTGCGGATGGCACTGCTAAGCCGTGCTGGCCCCTCAGACTGCAGTCTTGGCCCCTCTGCACATCTGTGGTGGCCTTTACCCTTCTGGGATAGTCACTTTTAGTTTTCAATTTGACACAATCTAAAATCATCTAAGAGGGTCTCGATGAAGGATTACTCTAGATCGGGTTGACCCGTGGGCACGCCTGTGAGCGATTCTCTTGACTACATTACCTGAAATGGGGAGATCTGTCCCCGGTCGGGGGTGCCATTTATTTGTCAGGGGTCCTGGGTTGGATAAGAGCGGGGAACATAAGTTGAGCCCTAGCATGAATTCAGTGATTGTTGCTCTCTGCTCTGGACTGTGCTCTAGCCTCTCACCCTTTCTCCTTTAAGTTGCATTTCATGGGATTTTGTCAAAGCAAAGGAAGCAGCTAAAACAGCCTTACTGGCTGAACGTGGAGAAAGACTATCAGTTTAAGCAGGTATCTTAGTTCAGTCCCTTTCCTTTCAAATGAATGTCCCTGTTACATGTTGACATCCTTGGTGGGCAGGGTCTTTCACTTGAAGCACTGGCCTACTGTTCCAGTACCGAGTTCTCTTAAACAATTACATCTGCCTTGTCTGCACATCTGCCTTACTGGAGAGCTAAGAGCAGGGAACCGTTGCCATGGCACAGCCTGGATATGTTGTGTCACACTATTCTTTGGGAGTAGTGAATAAGCCCTACTGATCCTGAATAGGGAATATTCTGATGGCAGACCTGTGTAAGACTCCAACTTGGTGAACCAGTTATGTTATTGGACCCAGATACTGGAGTGTGGACGAGGAGAGGTTAGAGCACGGACAACTCGAAAAAGCAGCTGTATCAACAACAGTCCATCCTGGCAGAGGTTATGACTCACACAGCTGGAACTCTGGAACTCCCTACATGACTTGCAGGTGGCTCAGCAGGCCAAAGACCCTCCTCTCCCCAGCTTCCAGCTTCCCAACATCAACCTCAGGCATTTGCATGTTCACAAACATGCATGCACACCTATACATGAGCATCTACACAGTGCAACATGTTTGCACACTATACATGCATTAAAAAGGAAAAATAAGAAAAATATATCTTAGTATGTCTTACTCCAAAAAGCTGAGTCTCATAACTTAGAAAGAGAAGGAGTCTCATCTCACAGGGCACAGGCCAGAAATTTTGTAGGCAAATTCCACCTAATTCTTTCAAAGAATAGAAGA